TACCTATATGTAATTTTTATATAGAACATATACATTACATATGAAATATATGTTATAAAATTTATATATACATATTGTATAAAAATATGTTTAAAATCATATATCACAAATCATATATTATGATACATAGACCATCCCCGAGTTGCAAAAATGTCATGGTCCTGCCCAGCATCCCCAGAGCCCCTGGTGCTCATTGTTTTCTGTTGCCTGGTGCACAGGGACAGGTAGGAGAGGAATGGGAGCTGATGAAGTGCCAGGGGATGCTGTGATGTCCGTAGGGATCCAGAGGGATAACGTGGCCCTTGGCCATGGCAGCTCAAGCAGCTCTGCAAGGTACAGTCTTCTCCCTAAGGAAGGGCTGTGCCAGCACTCAGCCCAAGCCATGGATCTCCTCTGAGACCCCTCAGCCAGGCTGAGCTCCTGGGGTGCAGTGCTGAGATGGGGCTATGGGTGAGGATGGCCTTCCTCTTCCTCCTCCTCCTCCTCCTCCCAGGTCACCAGTGCTCATTGCCTCGGGGCAGCTGTTGGCAGCATCCCATGGACCTGCAGTGTCAGTAGTGGGTCTTCAACTGCTCAGCTCTCTGAATGACAGGACAGTCTTTAAATTACTGTTATTTAATTTTGAAGATTTTAAATTCTTGCTGTTTAATTAAACTCTCGCTATGAAAACATATAGGAAAACTCTTTCCTAGAGAAAATTTCCCCTACCTTCCCTTACCATATTTTCCAGTCCCATGATTTCTGAATGTCTCTCTGGGAAGAGCTTGTGTATTCTGGGCAGTGCTGTTTGTTTGTTGGAAAACTGTGAGCCTGCACATCCCATGCTCACACACTCCCCACTGCACTGCAGCCTCGCTGCCTTACGCCTGGTGAAGATCTAATGTTTACACAGGGATTAACTCATTTCTCGTGCAAGTCTTGGGTTCTAATCAAACAACAGCTTTTGTCCAAAACCTCTTTTTCTTGTGCCAGATAATAAAATCGCCTTGCCTTGCCTTGCCCACAGGGTATGTCCAAGCCTGTCGAGCGCTGATGATCGCCGCCTCCGTGCTGGGCCTTCCTGCCATCTTCCTCCTCATTACAGTCCTGCCCTGCATCCGCATGGGCCACGAGCCCGGGGCTGCCAAGTACCGGCGCTCCCAGCTGGGAGGGATCCTCATCATCCTCCTGGGTAAGGCACCAGCTGCACCTGCAGGGCTGGAGCCCGTGCCCTGCTCCGGTGCAGGCAGGTTGAGCGTGTTCTCCTGGAAGGGTCTGTGCAGGCTGGGCTGGCCCTGCAGCTCTCCAGCATTGCTGGGTGGATAAAAGGCACGGAGAGCAGTGGGAGGACAAGGGCAGGAGGCAGGGGGTGAGGCAGGGCTGGAGGGAGGGCTGAGAATCCCTCTGTCTGTGCCTTGTGGAGTCCTCAGGCAGGGCTTCTCTCTGAAGGCCATTGCACATGGGCAATGCCTGCATGCATGGATTGTGCTGGTTCACTCTGGAAGTGATTTTTGGGAAAGAGTCTAAACTTCCAAGCTACCTATAGGGAAGGCAGATCCTCCAAATATTCCCTGGACATCCAGGGAAAGTAAGCTGAGGCATGTGGGAAGGGAAGCCCTCCATGAATGAGGGTGGTCCTGTGGTAATCACAGGGGAAGGAGTGTGGAGGTGGCACAGACATGGCAAGAGGGATGGCACCGGCACGGGAAGAGGGCTGGCATGCCCTCTGTGCCTCCCAACCCCCTCTGCCAGCCTCTCCCTTGGCCTCCAAGCTCCCCTGGGAATTTCTTCCCGTCCTTGGTGCTTGTGGAGGAGATTGTTTTGAGCAGCACAGACTGTGGAGCTCATTGTCCCCCATGCAACACCTGCATGTTCTTGAGGCCTCGTCATCTCAGAACAGCCTGCGGGGCCTTGTTTTCACCCGTCTGTGCAGAGGAGGAGGGGAGAGGCAAAGTGGCCTCTTTGTGTGGCTCTGCTGCTCGCTGGCAGCCAGCACTGACATCATGCCCATCTTCTTTCTTCTTCTTCTTCTTCTTTTTTTTCAAGTGGGCACTGGATATAGCTGCGCACTTGGAAGGGCTGTCCCCTGGGTGCTCCTTCCATGCAAGTCATCCCTCCTCCATCACTTTGTGGTTAGCACAAGTCCAAACATCCCAGATCTGAGGGGTTGAGTCCAAGGGACCCTATTAGTGCCTGTGGAGTTCAAGAGCACAGCTGGAAGTCCTTACATCAGCTTTTATAGAGCTTTATAGGCCATCCCAATCAGCCCTATTGGAATGCGATCTTCATCCCTGCCCTGCAACCTTGAGTCATGTATTTGGGCTTGGAGAAGTGAAAGAAAAAGTGGATAGTTTCTGCCTGTGAATGAAATATTAGTGCTAGAGAAGTCTGCTCTGATGGATTTGCCCTGCCCAGGATGGGTAGGCCCAGCAGAGCTGCACTTTGTACAAAAGCCAGAAGATTTTGGTTCCAGTCAAGGAGAAATATGCTGCAGGTCAGCCCTGCTTGCATGGCTGAAGATGTGGAGGCAGGAGGACTGTCCCTAAAAATCCAAAAGGGGTGACAGGACCAGCTCATATATGACAAATTGCAGTGACAGTGTTGGGTACTGTATTAGAACAAGTGAAATCCTTTTTGCTGCAGTGTCCCACCAGGGTTTGGTGTCTGATGTGCCACCATCCCATCCCAGTTATGCTGCAGTGGGACACCAGGGAAGAGAACAGATGTGAGGGGAGGATGGAGAGTCGTGGTGCTCCATAAACCAGGTTCCACTCTGCCTCAGAACATGGTTTTCCAATTAGGTAGATCCTATGAGGAAAGGAAACGTGAGAGATCACATCTCTCACATTTGTTTTACGGAGACATTGGCAGACAAATACTCTTTGGGTCAGATTTGGACCAGATCTTACTGATTTTCACCCCTGTGGGCTCTGAAGCCCACAGGTGAATGATTTACTGGTGTCCCTGATGCTCTGAATGATCTGGACTGGGATCAGCAGCCTGGTCACAATGTTTTAGTCACAATTACAATAGTGCTCTTTTTGTCAGATCACAAATGAAGAATAAATAACCTTCTTTTGCTCCTAGGTTGCTTTTTTTTAAAAAAAAGTAAGAGTAAACCAGCCCACATTTACATTTACAAAGCCCATTTTTTTCCAGGCTCATCGGCAAGACAGTCCCTTTGGAAGAAGAATAATGTAGAGAGTTTAGGACTTTGACATTATTTACGCTGATTAATGATCTGTTAGTTGCAAGATGAGGTGTCACCATTCCAGAGCATTTAACAAGCATGGATCAGGCCCTGAAAGATACAATACTGAATTAAAATCCATTATACTCTAGAAATAACATGCCCTGGACTGTTTTTATTCACCCTCCGGCCACTGAACTCTCACTCATGGTTTCCACAACCTCACAGGCTCCAGACTTTTCCTCTTAGGGAAGAGCAACAGCCAGAGCTCTGGTTAAAAGAAAATGGGCCCCCTAATGCAGCAGAAATAGGCAGTAGGGGTGCAAACAGGGGAGCTGGCCCCGTGGCAACCTTCATTTGCTGCTCAGGGAAGGGATGGCAGTTTGTCACTGAAATTTGTTATAAGGGAAAGCAGGAATTGAAACACAGCACAGAGCCAAAAAAACATTATATATATAAAAAGCTGAACAGTTGCCAGGAAAACAATGGGCTCAGATATTCCATTGATTTTTCTGTCCACTGATAATCACAGGCTGCCAGAGTGTAACCTGTGTGCACACCCTGCTATTCTGCTGCTGATGTGTTTATGGCTTTGCTTGATCCTATCTGACCGAGAGAATTGATTTATGGCTGAAAACAACCGTCAGCAGAGGTTTGCTCTGAGCTGGTATGAAAACATTTCACACTTTGGTGTTGATGGAAAAACCCTGGCCCAGCCCCTGTTGTTGATACTAATTTGGAGACCCCTTGCTGGTAACCAAGGGGGCATTTTCTCATTTTCTTGATGGAGGACAAGGACTCAGACACTGGAAAATAGATCAAATATATGTTAGTGGGAATTGCTACTACAAAATAAGCCATTGTGTACTAGATAAAGGATGTTAATGAGTTTTTCTGAAGGCTGCATGAGGTTTAGTTGTAAAACCATAGATATCAGGATAAAAACTTTGCCTTGAACACAGAAAAAAAATGGTATCTATTCTTTTCAACTAAATGTTTTGAAAGAGAAATCCGTGTGACTTTGAGTCAGCAATTCAGAATAGTTAAATTTAGATGCGAAAGAAAAGTATTCTTTCTTCTGCAGAAAGCCTTTAACTTACTGTTAAGGAATTTGGCAGGGACTCACTGTCCCTTGAGTTAGAACAATCCTGTTCCCTCTCCCCCAGCTCCCCAAGCACCTTCTGTGCTTCTTGTCTCTGTGCACGTCCTTCTGACTCCAACACATCTCTGATGCTGAGTATTAAGGGTTTCAGCTCAGCAGACTGAGCTACTGCAAATCCACAGTTAAAAAAGACTTGGAAACACTGGGAGCTGGGACATATCCCTGTGGATTCACAGCAATCTGATGGACCACGGACACTCATGCCATGCATGAATGCTGAGAGGATTTTTTTATGTAGAGGCAGTGGCTTTTACAAGATTGCCTACTCCAGCTGCAAAAAGCAGTCAGGATTTCCACACGTATGCCCCAAAACAGGCCTGTTTTCCCAACTAAATTGGCTGCTCTAATAGAAAATATTCCTTCTCTTTGCAGACCTTCTTTTATTTTTCTGCTAGACTGTATTGGCTAGAGCAGCTCTACTGTCTGAGGATTTCTTCTTTAGAGAGAGGCAAAGAGTGTCTGACATTAACACAAGAGAAGGGATAACAACTTCTATCTACACTTCTTTTCCATATAGGCAGCTACTTTAGAACTTGAAACTTGCCCTAAAACTCCTTTTCCAATTTCTTTGGGTTTCTTGTCAAATCACCGTTTTTCCCCCAGCCTTTCCCTGTGGTACAACCAGTATAAAATTTGGGCCCACAGAGAGATATTGCAATTGCTGACTGTTCTTTTCCCATCTCCTCAGAGGATTTACAGCCCAACCTAATCTATGCAGAGCAATGAAACCCAGTCCTGTTCCAGGGCATTCCTCTTGCTCAGCAATGGGGTCACTGGTGACTGACAGCAGCTGGTGGCCTCCGAGGACAGAGAGGTCAAGTGAACCCATGCAAAGTCCTTGGCTTGTGTTTCACAGCTTTCTGGTATTGTCAGCATTAAAATAAGGTGGTTTTACATGTAGTGGAGCCACATGCACAAGAGATGCCATTGTGTGAGCATCCCTGAGAGCTCTTCTCACCCCAGTGCAAGTGTTTTCTTCGGCCCTGTCTTGTGGGGGAGGGTCTGGAGAGATAAGGCTCTTATAGTCTATAGACAAATATATATATATATTTACTGCTGACAGAGAAAGAAAAGATGATTGTGTTCTTTCGGACAACAAAGCAGCTTTGTTCCCAGAGCCCATCAGAATGCTTTGTGGATTCCCAACTGATACATTTTTGTTTTAAAGCATTGGAGGTTCATGAGCTGTTTGCAGGACCACTCCACACACAGGAGAAATGCTCTTGTCCCCTTCCTGCCGTCTCCAAAATTCCTTCCAAAGCTGCGGGGCCCTTCCTTTGAGGAGGCCCAAAATTATTTCTGGCTTTATAAGCATCCTTCAAATGTTCTTCTCTTTTCCATAAGAAAATATTTTCTCTCACAATAAGTGCAGCTTTGGGGATGGGTTTTTTGCTGTACCGGCCAGGAGCTACGGTTTATTCTCTGCTTTAACCAAACAATTTTATTTTTAATCTCACCCCTTTCTTTTTCCCTCTTGCAACCTTAACTTTCTGACACTGCCTCCAGATACCTTTTAACACGGTCGGTGGAAATCTGTAATGCTGCCACGGTCCTGTTATTGTTTTGCTCTGATTCTCTGATAGCCACAAGGATGGAGTCCTGCACAGCTTGTCCTGGAGGCAAGTAAATATTGACAGATTAATTCTTCTCAGATGTACAGGCCATCAAGGAGTATTTTTTTAGGACCTGCTCCTGGGAGGTGATTAACACCATCAACTCCCGTTGCCCTCGGTGCATGTGGGGACTCTGTGGGGACTGTCTCCCTCAGATGTCACCTCACAGCACCACTGCAGCTGCCTTCTGGCGTTTTGTGGAAAAAAACCCGACGGAATATCAAGTAAAATGTGAAGCCTGCAGTCATTTTTTGACCCGCTGTAGTCTCTAGGCAGGATCCCGTTTTCACTTCCGCAGACTCTTTAGGTCCCATTTTTATTCAATTCAGTAAATGTCTGGAGAGCCTTTCTGCATTTGTCCCCATCGCTTGATAGAAATTTTCCACAGAGAAGTAGAATTTGTTTTCCAGAGCTGAGAGACATTTCCTTTTCCGTGAAAAAACCCCAGCAATTCCTAACTGCTGCTTATTTTGTCCCTGCTCATTTTCTGCTCGTGTTTCATAAACCCCACTCTGTGTTAGAGTGCTGGGACATTTTGGTGCTGTTTATGTGACGACTCAGTAGAGCCACTGCAATGATGAGGAGTCACATGGGCTGAGGACACAGAATGTGAGTCCATGTGGAAATGGGGATTTAAACCAGTTCACACTGGTCTACTGATTTTATTCTCTCACTGATCCACATGGTTTTCATGGCCTTACTTCATATCTATTCTATCCCTAATTCTGCAGTTCTCCAGAACATCAGTTTCAGGGATGACTCTCATTTTTCCCTCTTAAAGGTATTTCTGGGGAACAAATCTGTTTCTCTTCTAATAAATATATTGTGTCAGGCAGCAGTTGTTTTTCCTTCTTGTTGGTGCCTGAGAGAGATCCTGTTCTCTCTCCATCTCTCAGCCCTGAGGCTCCCATGTTGCCTTCTGCTTGGAGATCTCTTGGACCCAGCCCTGATGCCGCTGCTTCTGGGTGGCACCATGGGACAGGAAGGGAAGAGGGATGGTGTTGGGAAGGATAAGGATTTGACAGGAAGGTTTCACAGATATGTATGTATAACAGAAAGATCTTTGAATGCAGAATTTGAAGAAGAAATAAAAATAATAGCAAGTTTTTGTATAGAATAAAAAAATTACTGAGCTAGTTTTACTGGGTAACGAGAAGGCAAAGAGCAAGTGAGTTGAAAAGAGCTTTTATGACTTAGAGCGAAGGATACATCCACTTCAGGCAAAAGATGTTTTTACCAAGCAAAAAGATTTTTACAGGCAAACAAGAAAGCCAATGTTTCAAGCAGAAAAAAAGATCTCAAAATTTTCCACTGCAAAAAAACTAAGAAACAACTTCTAGCTTAAACTGTAACATACTAACCTTTTGAGATTAAAATATAGTAACATAAATATGGTAATGTTAGGAGTTTTAATAGTTTTAATTACAAGGGGCATGTATTAAGATACTCTGTAATAAAAAGTATAATGTATTGTAACCAGAACCAAAAAAGCTTCAAAACACACAGCTTGCCTATAGCCAGCAGCTAAAGGCTCACCCACAACCCTCAACTACTGCCACCTCATCTATACAATAAACAACATTTTAAAAGCCGTCTGAAGTCTCCATCTCTCCGTCAAACTCTTACGGGATGGCTTTCCTCTCTGTCCCCAGACACGTGTGTCCCAGAGTGTCACCCCCTCCAGATCAGACCCCTAACGCTGTCCTTTCCCTCTGTCCCCAGCCATGTGCGGCGTCGTGGCCACCATCTGGTTCCCGGTGTGCGCCCACCGCGAGACCACCATCATGAGCTTTGGCTACTCGCTGTACACGGGCTGGATCGGCTCTGCCCTGTGCCTCTTCGGTGGCTGTGTCATCGTGTGCTGCTCGGGAGACGCGCAGACCTTCGGCGAGAACCGCTTCTACTACGGCTCCGGCTCCAGCTCGCCCACCCACGCCAAGAGCGCTCACGTGTAGACGCCCCAGGGACGCCCCACGGCTGCTGTCAGATGCTTTGGCTGGTGGGTTCGTGTGCCCTGGGTTTGCTTCTGCTGTCAGGCTCCCAGGGGGAGATTTAGAAAAGCAGCACAAACGTCTGGTAGTTTGAAGCATTGTTCTCCCCGTCTCTTCCCCTCCTTTCTCTAGAAAGACAGCTCCAAGCCAGCCCTACCTCTTGGTCCTCACCGTTTTGTCCCGACCACCGGCCCCATCTTCTTGCAGCCAGGATGGTTTGGGGTCGTGGTGTGGGTTTTAGGTATTTTAGTTTATCTTCTAGCTCCCCTGATTATAGGAGAGTTTAAAGCAATAAAACAGAAACGAGAGAGACACTTTCCCATTGTTAGGAGGACTCTGACAGCTTCTCCCCCATCCTCACTGCTTGATTTCCCCCACTCAAGGTCATGGCTCTGGCAGGGCTGGGGAGAGAGGATAGGGAGGAAGGCTGTCCTCTCCCACAGGGCAAATGTTTCTCTTCGGGAACAAGAGGAGGGGATTTTTCTGCCTTTCTCTGTAAATACTTTTGTATGACTGATCATTTCAGTAACAGTGTTTCCCCCACCCCCACGGTCATCAGTATGAAGGAAACCGAACCCAAAGGTCCTAATGACATGGTAGATAGCAGTGCCTTTTTAAATAGTTATAAATGACTTTGGGGGCTCTAATCCCTGCCCTCTGGTTTAGTTTATTTTTTTTTCTTTTGTACAGATCAGTTACTAAAAAATGTATTTTTACATTTTTTTAAACTCCTTTCTTTCTTTCTTCTAAGTTTGTGTTCCATCTTGCCTCGTTAAAGCAGCACATTTTAACATGCAGTATAATGTACGTTACAATACAATTCTGGTGAGTACTGATGATGCCTTTGTACTTTCAGTGAAATACTGTACAATAAATAACAGAGTACCTGCAAACTCTGACTTCTTTTTTCCTTCCTTCCTGTGTGTTTCCATAGCCAGTTTTTTCCATGACGGGGATTTGCCAATGATTTTGAAGATTTTCTCTTTTTTTTATAGCAGTTCAGGATGAACAATTCTGCTCTGCTGTGGCATTAAATGAAGGATACTTAAAATATGAGTAATCTTCCTGCATATGACTGTCCATTATCTTATCCTTTGGTTCTTTCAATGCTCCCAGTAGTAGTTTGTACCTGTGGGAGCTGCTTGTAGGTTTCTTTATATTGGGAAGAATTAGAAAGCCCCTGAAGTGGTGGAGATGACCCTGAGCACTGTGAAGTTGAGACCTCGTGTTGCTGAAAGTGCTCTCAACTAAAGCAGGAGTCTGATCTGAGGTCATAGTTCTGATTAAAACTGGGTAAGATCAAGATCGAACTTTGTCCTTACCAGAGGCTGCAGCAATTTAATTACACTGATACAAAATTCTATCTGTTCCCAAAGATGTTAGCTCAATTCAAATAATTTGTGTAAGCCAAGAGAAGGAAAAAGGGAATAGCTGCTGTTCAAACACGGGCAAGAGGAGAGGCAGGAGAAGGGTCTGAGCAACCAAGTTTTTTGGGATGATGAATAATGGGAGAACAAGGCTGTCAGTCAAGCCTTGTGCATTCTGGACTGTCCTTGGTCTGCTTCAGCTGGAGAAACCAAACTGAGTGACGCAGCCACGGGCAGGGATGCCGCAGCTCCCACCTCTCCCCTCCTGCCCGTGGGAAGCTGGAGCGTTTAAAAGGAGCCAGAGGGAGGCTGGCTGTGCTCCACGAGCTCCCTTTGCCTGCCTGGCCCAGGGATGGGCAGCAGCCCGAGCGTCTGCCTTTCCCACCGAGCAGCCTTGAACGCGGCTCTGTTGTGCGAGCAGTACATCGCTGTGCAATGTCCCCAGGGCGGTGGCAGGACACTTGTGCCCATGACATCACGGGCAGGGCACAGGCGGTTGTTGTACAGCCGGAGGACGCTGTCAGTGCTGCCATTGATGTGCGGCTGCCCCGGGCGGAGGGGGGCACAGACGTGCCAGCTTGTGCAGGCTGCCCGGGGATTGTGGATTGTGCCCGCGGGTCTGCCCGCTTAACCCCGGCACCGACTGCGGCGTGCGACACCTCGGAGCAGAAATCCCATGGAACGCTGCCCGCAAACAGCCCTGCAGCAAGCTGGGAGGGAAAACCACAGGAATGTCTGTGTCGGATGCCCGGGAGAGGGTTTTGGTGCATGACCTGATTGGGAGCGAGCCCTGCCAGGCAGCGCTTAGGGGATTTTTTTCTGTCCACATCCTTGGGATGCATCTTGTCCCTTCCAATCTCACCCATTCCGTGATCCTCATGCACGTGGTGCTGGGGATCCTTGGCAGCGGATGATGCTGGGGCTCTGTGCTCTGTCCATAGCCACAGGTTACCAGCATCCGACCCCAAATCCAACTCTTAAAAGGCCCTGGGAGTGCTGCTCACAGGAAGGAAGAAATTTTATTTCAGGGAAGAGAATTAAAAACCAAACAAAGCAAAGCAATCCCGCAGCAGCTGACAGGAAAAATGTACATCTGCAACCATGGGGTGCAAGGAGATGGGGCCAAGAATGTGATGGGGTATTAGTGCTGGCACCATAGAGGGGAAGTATTCTGAGGAAGCACAAAGAACATTAAACTTTTTTAGTTTTTAAAGGATCAAAGTTGAAACACCTGCTTTGTGCTCCCTCCAAAACACCCTGCTCCCCTGCGGGGCTCTCTTGGTCTGGATTAGCCATGGCACTATTGGCTCATGAAGGCTTTTAGTGCTCATTTGCAGACCCAAAGCCTCAAAATAGGATCAAATATAATTCTCCTGAATCGAAAAACTGCTCCACATTGTTCCTAACACCAAGTGTGGAGGGGTGGCTGTGAGCCATGGTAGTCACCCCAGTGTGGAGGTGATGGTCCCTGATTGCCAGCAGAGCTCTCCTCAGCTCCCCCAGCACCAGCTGGAGCTCTTGATCCCATCCCCACGATGGACAGAGCACCTGGCAGGCTCCCCACTCCCCAAATAACGGGGGCAGCAGGAAGGAGCCCTTGGGGGGCACACTGGTGACGCTGAGCACCCCAAAGGGGACAGGCAGCTGTGTCTGCCTCTCCACAGCCCCGCTGCCCATGCAGGGAGGGGACAGTGCTGTGACACCCCAGTTCCCCCAAGGAAAGGTGAGTGCCAGCAGAGGGGATGACACTGGTGCACCCCAGGCCTTTGCACTGCAGTAGTCAACCTGTGGTCATTTGCTTTAGGTTTTTTTCCTTCTTTTTTTTTATTGTGTAAACATATAACCATTTTCTCTCACAACACTGCAAGTAAATAACAAAGTCAACCCACTGAAATGGATCTTCTAAAATGGAATTTTTGAATCACTTAAAGCAAGATTTTGTAAATCTTTAGCTTCAGTTTAGCACTGAAAACATATCAGAACTTCAGGTACTGATTGGCTTAACAAAATTTATATGGGATTTTTTTTATTATTACTTTTTGGTTTAGTCTTTAACTTAAAAGATTTACTTTACTATGGAAACTAATTCTAAGACACTTTTGTCTCTGGCTTTCTTTACAAATCCCTTAGTTCCTCTTTGATTTTTAAATGTAAAGGCACACAATAAAGCTTTATGCATTTATTAAAATATACAGATTTTGGTAAATTTAGATTTTTTTTCTTAGTATCTTGATTATATATATGTATTATATGTATAGTTGTCAACAACACAGTCATTTGAAAATAAAAATCACTCCATAACATATCTGCATATTTTTTTTCTTTCTCATGACACACTACAAGACCCCATTGTACAATGCACCAATGGGCTTCTGGAAACCACAAAAACAAAAAAGATGGATAGAACAAACTGCTTTTAACAAATACACCAACTTCATACCAGAACTGCAGAGAATTATTACACCAGAAAGTACCACCTGCAAAAAAAAAGCAAGATATACATCAGAAAGACTGAACAAAACGAAGTGAAGGTCATTTACAAGCTGAATTTACAACATCCCATGTTGTTGGGGTGTGATTTTGCTGCTGTGGAGGATGCTGGAGTGCTGGGCCTTGGACCAAGGGGTCGTGACCGAGTGGAGTGAATTTGTGGAGGGGCTGAGACCTTACAGAGTCGGCCTGGAAGATTTGAGGTATTTATGCTCCATCTGTACCATGCATTTGGTGCCTCGGGGCTTGTGCCCCGTGGAGGGCAGGCAGGCATGGAGGGGCTTTGTGCCTCTCAGCAGAGGTGGGAGCGGGATGGTCCCGCTCTGCCATGTCCTCCCGACGGCTCAGGGATGTGAAAACCTCCCTCAGGGCACCCAGGGAAAGGCTGGAGTTGGGCTTACAGCAAAACAAGCACTTGCACCTCTTCCCAGCCCCCTGGCCCGCAGTGCCCAGAGGCGATGGACACACCTGGACATTTTGCCTTCTCAGCCTTTGCTCACTGAAGAGCCCAGTGCTGCTACGAGAGGCAGCATGTGACTTCCCAGAGGCTGAACCCACACGTGTCCCAGGAACTGCCACCTGGGACAGGGAGCAGGGGTCCTGTAAACCAGCCCATGGCCCCTGGCAAACCCCCAGGAGTGGCTTGGTCACCTTCTCCTTAAACACCTCTGTTGGGTGGGATGTGTGGGCTCTGTTGGCTCAGGAGGAGGGTTGTGAGGGCTGGCAGCAGCTCAAACACATCCGAAGTGCTGTGGCATCAAATGTTGCTCCCTGGTGGTCCAGAATGGGGCACAGCCATCCTGCCCCAGCACTTCCCCAGGAAGGGGAAGGAGGATGGGTGAATGGGACTGAGGGCAGCCAAATGGCTGCTCAGATTCAACGGAGAAGTTCCTACAGACACCAAAGATCAAGGGGTCAAGCCCTTGCCAAATTATACAGCATAACTAGAGCGGACGTGACGACAGACACTGGTACTGGTAACTGCTCCTTAGCAAGAGATTAAGGCTGCAAGAAGAACGGGCTTCAACTCAACAGGGTGCTTGGGCATGAGTTTGTGGCTCAGCAGATGCCCAAATACCATGTGGAAGCAGGACAAAAATGACTGCCTTGGATATGGTATAGTACAAGAGCTGGTAGGAAAATAGCATCAGTCTTTCTCCCTGAAAACATAAAGCCAGACCTGCGAGGTGCCATCTCTCTTGGGTATCTCTAAGGCATCAAGGAGGAGAGCAGCCAAGCATGGGTGAGCAGTGGCCATCACAGGAGGAGCTCAGCACCACCACAGAGGTTTCCCGAGCTGGCCCGTGCGTGGTTCACATTGCAACAGCTTTTCAGTGGGATACACTCAGGATTTCTGCTTGTAGAAGCGTTGTAGGGGTGGATAGCAGGAGCTGATGCCAGAGCAAAGCTTACAGGTCCTTTAGCCAATTCCTCACTCCCACCCTGAAGCTGCTGCAGAGGCCAAACTTCCCTTGGCTTGCCGGGAGCACTCCAAGTTAAGATCTGCAGAACTAGATGGTCTTCTCAACTGGAAAAAGGACTGTAGTTTGTCACTGTTTGGGACAGGAGCTGGAGGGAAACTTTTTCAGCCCCAGGCAGAGAGTCTCCATCAAGCCCTTGCATCCCAGGAATGATGGGGAAGGGCACAGGTCCTGGCACCTGTGCTTGCCCACAGAGGGTGCCAGGCAGGTGTTTTGGGAGCCTGAGCCTCATCCAGTGAACCAAAGCATTAATGGTTCTCAATATCCAGAAGGATATTTCCATATTGGAAATCCTGCCTCCGTTGATGTGAAATTGTCCCCTGGGATGCCAGCAGCAGCCCACGGTACTGGGGGTTGGTCTGGGCTGCACTGGAGCCCCTGGGATGGATCCATCTGCAGCCTTCGGCAGCTGGGGGAGGATGGGAGCTGCTGTCTGATGGGTTTTGGTTACTATTTATTCAGAAAGATGTTCCTCCTCCACAGTGTTTTACACAAAGCTCCACACCTGGACCTGTTGATAATCACTGGCCAAACCCGTCACTGCTGACTGATGATTCTCACTGGCAGCAGGGAGTCTGATGGCACTTCTGGGGGCCATGGCCATGTTCAGGGGGTTTAACATCCACCTGCTGACCACCTCTGCCCTGCGAGCCACCAGCTCTGTTTGGTTTCAGACTGAAATATGGACACTTACGGAATGAGCAGCATTTCAGTGGTTTTCATACAGCACCCGCCAAGCCAAGCCAAAACCAGAGAGTATTGTACAAGGTGCAGACGGCAGTAGGGAGACAGATTTCAGCCCCCAAGCCCTCTCCATTTGCTAGCCATGGCCTAGCCCCACCAAGATGTGGCTGACCCATGGATGCTGTTGTTTTGTGAGGGCACGGGTGGGTGTCTGGAGCACTGAGGGCACAGTGAGCACTGGAAGGTGCCCAGCACGATGAGGGAATGACAGCACAGTCATTTTTATAAAAGACACAAGGTGGTGGAAGCAGTGCCCAGCCTCAGACTGGTGATGCTCAGAGGAATGTGTGTACATTTGTACAAAGGGGGTTGAGTCAAGAATGGGTCACAGCTCACACTGTGACCAGGAATGGGATCAGGCTCCCAGCCACAGATTTGGGGTGTTGGGCCATGCCAGGAATTAAAGGTTGGACTGAGACATGGACTAATTTTGAATCACAATATTGGGGTTTGGGGTGTGGGGATAGACATGGGGGAAGCACTGCTCTGTGCAGTGTGCCAGAACTGGCCATGAAAACACTGTGTGATGGAACCAATTATGCATCTCTGGGCTACTCCCAGGGAAGAGTGTGTCCATCTCCATTTTGCACCTGCCCACCTCTCTGTGCCTCTAGCTCAGCTATCACTTCTAAGTGGTTCAAAGGAAAAAAAACACACATGCCAAGAAAGTACCAAAAACTTTAGAGTGACATTCCACTGCTGCGGCCATCGGGTGGATATCCCCCAGGGACAATTTGACTTGTCCTGTCATGCGGCTCCTTCCACCACTCAACACCCTCCTGGTTTGGCACATCTCCCACTCCACTGCCTGCACTGGTGCAGCTGGTGCTGGGAGATCAGCCGGTGCTGGGGGATAAGCCAGCATTCACCAGAGCGAGACCCGACTGGTGGAGCTGGGACAGGCCACGGGTGGTTTTGGTTCGGGGTCAACGGCAATCGCAGGGCACGTCCCAGAGGTGAGCAGGGTGGTGGTGTAGGACCCGGGAATGATGAGACAGGATGGGGGAGCCACGGGGACCCTTCCTCATCGCCTGGGCAGTGTGGTGCCCCGCTGCCTGTCCTGCTACTCGGGCGAGTAGTCCAACTCGTCGTTGGCGATCAGAGCATCCGACGGCGGTTTGTGCCGGCCTTTGCTTTTCGACCTGCTACTTGTCCGATGGCTTTCCTTGGTGCCCGCCATTTGCTGGTACGAGAAGCTCTTGTCCTCAGAAGGACCCCAGGCCGGGTAGCTCTCGCCCTCGGGGGCGAAGGAGAAGCCGTCGTCCACGGAGAAGGGGTCGACGTCCACGTCGTAGCGCTGGTAGGTGCTCTGGTGCAGGGCCTCCTCGCGGGCGCTGATCTCCAGCGTGCTGTTCCACATCCCGTAGCCAAAGTAGATGAGCAGACCTGGGGTGGGCAAGAGAGAGAGGGTTGGACCCTATTGAAAGGGGTTATCTTCTTTTCTTCTGCCTTCACTCAGAGTTAGGACTAAAACAGGAAGGAGATGGATTTCTCGTTCGGACTTGGTTGTTTATTAAATCTTATCTAAAGTACAGAGAGTTTTTTAGTACTTTTAGCTATTAAGCTAAAAGTGAGAAAATTGAGGTGAATATAGCTAGTTACAAGGTCTTTTAAAGCCTAACTATCCAATTAAGAGCTAACATCTATATTATTTATACTTTTGACCCAATAACCAAACATCTGTGACCCATACTGCGGGATTTTTTATCCAAACAAAAACTATTACCTAAAATCATGAAGAAGAAAGAACAAGAAGGAAAAAAGAGACAATGCCCAAGAATGTCCATCTTGTCCTATACCTATTACTATATTCTAAAACCCCAAATTCAAAACCCTTCACTATGTTAAATTACACACTTCTATTCTAACTACACACCCGTGATTCTAACTCCATCACTCAAATTTGGAAGCCTTCTCCAAGGTATCAAGTCAAAAACAGTGGTCCCCTGGGGGTCAGTGTCAGAAACACAGAAACACAGAAAGTTCAAAACTCCCAGGCTTCTGGGTTCCAACAGAACCTGAACTACCCACTAGTCCAACTAACCCTACCCAATGTCATCTTCCTGCACAAATGCTTTCACTGGCAGCAGATATATCCAGAGATCTGATTTCCAGTGGATCATGGGATTAACCTACCCCAGACATCTGCACAGAGAAATCCAGACTGCACATGCTGGGCACTAGCCATGGGGGACTGATGTGAGGTTAAATCAGGACCACATATCTCTGCCAGAAAAACCAGTGTGATGTCCCATCCCCAACAGCCATGGATGGGCTGGTGGAGCTCATCACACTTAATGCAGTGGTTTAATTGACTCATTGCCACTGCTGGCACCTCAAGAGGTATTAGTTATACCCACAGGGCAAAGCGCTTAATTACAGCAGATTAAATTGATGCTTTGGACTCATCTTTTCTTCCAGGTAGAAGGAATTTCCCTATATTTTCAGCTTCACATATTGCCTTCAGGGGCCTAAAAAGCACTGAGAATCTCTTCTCCAGACCAAAAATTCAGATGGCAGCTCCTGCCCAATGGCTCGGCTTGGAGGAGCTATGAGAGCTGCTTTATTTCTCTTTGGTTTGTGGAGTAAGTGGGTTAGAATGTAAAGCACTATGGATATGCTGGGCTCTTGGTTATGTGTCAGAAAGCCTAAATTTGGGGGAAAAAAAGGGTCCACAACAGAGTCTGTGATTCCTAAAATGCCCCTACCCCAAAGTTAAGAACTTGGGCTAAAAGGAGATACAGTCTACAGATCTGATTTCCCCAGGGCTTCTGGGATTGGGCAGCTCTGGGCTTTGGAAAAACAGTATTGAAATACTGGTGTGGGCTGCTGAAGAGCTCATGTGGGTGACATAGCAAGAAATCAGGCTGATTTCTGTACAAAACCTGCCTGCGAGGCAATTGCCAGAGCCCGCCTACTTTGCATCAAAAAAGCCATCAAAATAGTCACCTTTGCATGGAGTTATTCTCTTCCATGAAACTGATGTTTTCTGGAGGTGTAATTTTCCATTTAGCTGTGGTTCGGGGGCTGGATAAAATGAGATTTCTAAAAACTTCAGGATGGCAGGTGAGAAGGACTGGGTATGTCCCAGGCATCAGCCTGTGCACTCTAATTAGGGAAGTTGTTATTATCAACACCCTTCCAAAAAAGTGTCAGTGAAAAAATGAAAATAAAAGAATCTGGGACTCACCCACAAAACACCAGACAGCAAATCGGATCCATGTGACTGTGGAGAGCTTCAGCATGAGATAGATATTCACCAGCATGGCGAAGGCAGGGACGAAGGGCAGACATGGGGCCATGTAGGGCAGCTTCTTGGGGTTTTCTGGCTGCTGCAAGATCACAAACACCAGCACAGCGATGAGCAGGACCATCAGCACGACCAGGAGGACAGCCCACCAGCTCTGCTCAGAGATGTAGTCTGACCCGAAAATGATGAAGGAGCAGAAGATGAACATCAGGACAAAGAGCAGGAGCACACAGGTGGTGACCGTGTGGCCGGTGGCTGCTGTCGGGCGATCCATTTTACCCGGCAGCCCGAGGTGGATCCGCATTGTGTAGTACCGGGGGCCGATCAGCTTCTTCAGCTTGATGAGATAGATGTTCTCAGACTCATCTGCCTCTATCCCCGAGGTCATGTCGACAGTGCCATAGTTGGGGTGATTGACATTGTAGGCGGATTTATCGGATTTCCCAATCAGCATCTCGTTATCTCCTAGCGATGGCAGATTTTTTGCCCCGCACGTGTTGGTCGGTGGGCCAGAGAACTCCTCTCCTTCACTCCCAGGGGAGCAAGCTTCCTTCTCACAGTCGGCCAGGATGCCCTCCTTCTTCTTGGTGTGCTCCTCGGAGAGGAATTTGACGAAGCCGTCGATGTCGCTCTCGGGCTGGTACCGCAGGAGCAGGACGCAGACGGACACCAGCGTGTAGGCGAGCAGGGTGCCAATGGACATCATTTCAATCAGGTCCCTCAGGCTGACCAGCAAGGAGAGCAGAGCTGCCAGGAACCCGGACACAATACAAGCCACGACAGGGGTTTCCGTGTAAGAGCTGACGTGGGACAAAAACCTGGAGTGCACAACAGTCACAGAAAGTTAAAATCACAGAAGTTCCCTGTTGCAACAACCCTTCCCTGGCTGCAGAGGACAGTTTCAGGGATCCCTTCAGTTCTTGTTGCTTTTTGTAACTTTGATTCCAGGTGGGGTCTGGCAACACTGCTGAAATTGAATCTGGAGTTGGATCTAGGTCTGACCAACTCTTCAATGAGCTCTTGGATACTTGCAAATAAGTACCCAGATTTCATCGGTATGAACTGCTCTCCTTTGCAAGTAGCTCTTGAATTAAACACTCATCCTCATATAATCAGAATTTCTAGTACCAGCACCAAATGAGAAACTGTAGGGTAGACTACTCCTGATATTTTCCCTCCAGGATATTGCTCTGTCTTGTGTCTCATTCCGCACCCACCATGCCTGTGTGTGCCCATTGCTCCCTGTAGTGACAGCACTGTTGGGGTGTTGGGACCCCCAAACCCACCAGTACAATTTCCCCTCAGATCCCAAGAGGCCAAAAATAAATTCCAGCATGGGCATAACTGACCTGAAGAGCAGCCCATCACCAGCCATGGCATAAATGACTCTGGGCATTGGGAAGAGGGAGCCCAGCAAGCTGACAGTGAGGCCAGCCACGGACCCGATGGCAACGATGAACTTGGCTGCATAGAAGCCGTGGACCACGAACATTTCCATCAGTGGGGACTCGGTGTCAATGGCATCGTAGGGCACCATCAGTGTGAGGATCATGCTCACCTGGGCAAGGAGAGAGGAGCAGGACAGGGGTGTCAGCATCAGCACTGGGGGTTGCTGAGGATCCTCAGGATGTAAAATGGTGGAGTTAGGTCTGTTTGCACTTTGCTGTAGGGTGGCTAATCCAGAAAACTGTGGGGTCTCTGCTACCCAAAGGCAAGAAGGGGATGCTTGAACCTTGCTGTAGGGGGGATGCAGGAGTCAAGTGGGACTGGTGAGACTGGTGAGGCTAGTGGGACTGGCAGGGTTAGTAACACTCACTTTGGCTGCATTCTTGTGTGGGAGATAATGCTGAGGCAGACCCCAAATCCAGATTACATTGCTTGGAGCAACACTCTGGCCCTATTTGAGTCAAAGAATTTGTTTTCATGAGAACCCCACTTCCATGCAGGAGAGATAGTAGGTGAGTTTCTTTGAAATTATCAGAATGGTGTTTTTCCTCCTTCATAAGTAATTTTTGCTCTTTTGCAAGGGAAATCTCTGAGTACAAGCATGCTTTTACAGGGGTGCAGAGAAGTGCAATCTCACACAGCCATCCCTGCCTATCCTTCCCCTCACTTGGATCCTCTCCCATATCTCCAGCAGAGGCAGTGCTGTTTTTTCCAGAAACACTGAGAAAGGACGCTGCAATGCTGCTGCTCCTTCTTTGCTTCTCTCCTGGGTGCAAAAAATAGCTGTGGTTGGAGACGAAAAAGAAACTGCCTGCCACCACATCCCTGCAGCTGGCAGAGAGGTCTTGTCAGGTGACAGGAGCCTGGGGACAGATGGAGAGGAGCCTTGGCAGGCACTGTGCAGGTGCCCAGAAGGGACTCATATGGTACAGATATATATATATATATATATGCATACATACATATTTATCTACATTCACACCTGTGTAGGGACTACTTACAGACACATAAGCTGTCAGGCACGTGACGAGCGAGGCTGTGATGGCGTAGGGGATGGAGGTGTTGGGATTCTTTGCCTCTTCTCCAGTGGTAGCAATGATGTCAAAGCCAATGAAGGCATAGAAACAGGTCGCAGCCCCCTTGAGCACCTGTGGGGAGGATCAAACATCTGGGTGTCAGGAGGGAGAGCAGCACCCAGCCAGGGAGAGGGAGCTGAGGAAAAATGGAGCAGCCCTGTTGTGCCTTGTCTGAGCTAAAGGGTGAGTGGCCACAGGACAGGGGATGTACATGTAGCTCTGGGGACTGACCCTGGGAGCACTTCTTATCCACCAATCTGATCTGGGGAAAAGATTTCAATCTATGACCTGAGCCATTAGAGGCATCTGCAGCTCACCCTGCAAACCTGCACCCACGCAGTGCCTGAATCTGCTGGGAGATCCTGCCAGTGACAGAGGAGACAATCAACCAATTTCAATTTGCTTTCACAATCCTCCACCCCAAATCCGTTTTTATTAGTAAGGATCTGGAACATGTTTACACGTTCTGCCTTAGCAAGATGTCTCATGTGGCAGCAAGATCCGCTTGCAGAGGAAGCAGGAGAGAGCAGCCGCTGTCAGATGTGAGCCGCTTCCCAAACAACCTCTGTTTTGCTTGGAAGCTGCAGACAGGTTAGGAGCACACATCAGAGCACTTGGATGAGGAATTATTTGTACTGTTTGGTTATTTTTTTTAAAATGTGGTTTAAAAAATATACAGTATTAACGAGGACATTTATAAGAAAGGAACGCTGGAGCAGGGCAAAGACTGCCTGGCTGTGAGTGAGCTGATCTGGAGCTGTGAAACCCTTGCATCTTGCTGGGTACCACCTGTCCTTCACACCTCTGTCATCTCAGCTGTCTAGTGATTCTGCACACAATAAAACTCACCTCTTTCAGGGACTGTCTGTAATTATCCCTTTTAAGTATGCCCTATGCTCCTGGGGATCTCACATGTGTGCTTGGTGGTGGATTTACTTTTACAAACAACTTGTGAGACAATGAACCAGCTGAAAAGGATGAGATCGCCTTATTGAGTTTTTTGAGTTTTGGGTATGCATCTATCTTTTAAAACTACATTTTGTGTGTGTATGCCAAGAGGTATTTGGTGCATTGAATTGGAGCAAAACAGGTATTTTCTATTTTCTCTTTTTCACTCCTATTGTATGGTACAACAATCTAAGCACAACCCGAAGGTAGATACAACCTCTGTTCTCAAGTGAGCCTCAGTGCTTTTCCCCTTGTTCTCTGGCAAAGAGGCATTGATTTACTGGAGGAAGGTGCAGGGACTCTATGGCAGTTTGGGACACTTTCAATAATCAAGATTCTTGGTTTACTTTACTTTCTTGCTTATTTTTCTGCACAAAACCCCAATGGAGTAAGCAGTGTAAATCTGAGAAATTATCTTGGGTTTAGGCCAGCTAAGATATTTTCAGACTCTGTTCATCCTTGGATAAAAACCAGTGCAAGCAAGCTAAAAAAGCCAAATATGTCCAAATTCTCAGTAAGCTTTGAGGGAACATCCATAAAATAAGTACTGGCAGGTGGCATTATGAAGTGCTCAAAACAAATGCTTGAGAACATTGTTGTTGAAAACCAGCCAACAAAAGTATCTCCCCGCTCCACAGAGGCTGAGCCAGCCCTCTGGAGTGCCCTGTCTCAGATAGTCACAGCATTTTGCTCCATTGCCAAATTAGTGGCATTTCCTTGGGGATACTTTCATGTGGAGTTTGGCTCTGCAGAAGGACATTTTGGAAAAGTTCTGGGCTTATGCTAAGAGGAGTTAGAAGATAAGGGCAAAGCATTGCTGTACTCATTGGGTTTGGTGGAAAGAACAGGTCTGGACCCAAGCCTGCACTCCTGGGATTTGGAGGTCCCTGGCCTAAGCATAGATGGTTTTAGTAGGGCTGGGATCTGGAGGGTGCAGCAGAATTGGGGTGTGCACACCATGAGCAAAGCTGAGTGTGTGGCAGCACTTAGGTGTTGTGTGTCCCTCCGTGCACCCAGGACTTACCCCTGGCCATCCAAAAGGCAGGAATTGCCCTTCAGCCCAGTTGTCACTTTTGATGTAGAACAGACCAGCAATCATGATGAAGATCCAAACTGCCAAGTTAATGACATTGAGCACGTTGTTCAGTCCCACTGAGTTCTTCACCCCCATGGCCACAATGATGGTGACAATGACAGCAATGACCAGAGCAAGAAGGTCAGGATATGACTCCTCTCCTTTCCCTAGGTGAGAGAGAAGAGTTGTGTTACTCTCCATCCACAGAATATCCAGGAATCCTGTGGGAGAGTTTTAAACACTTCTCAGACCTTGAAGTTCCGCAGAATTCTTTGGTCTCATTGCAAAAGTGGTCTCCAGAGGCGCATGCCTCCACTAGCTAAAGTTGTTTAATTAAGGTGATAAATCTTGATGTCTCAAGACACCGTTTGAATTTTTGGGAGAGCAGCAAACCTATGACTGTGTCCCAGTTTGCATAATGTGTATCTGCCAAGTACTCATTAAAAATCAATCAGCCATAAAGTTTTTATGACACAGGTACAGGACAGCTGGTTGGTTGGCTTACTGGTAGGATTCACGGAACTGAAAACAGTTCCAGTTGCTGGAACTACTGGTTATACAGGACCACCACAGCCTCCAGTCCCTACCAGTACAGCAGACACCAGCTTCTGCTCTCTAACAAAATTCTGTGTGTGCCCCAAGGGGACCAAGCAGAGTTTTTGCACTGAGTGAAGTGTTTCTGTGCTGCCCTCGCCCTCTGACTTTCGACTATTTCTGTGCATGTATTCTAAATGCCAGCTGATCCCAAAGGGGCTCAAAGTATCACGTATCCCATCCCCTTCAATCCTGCCTGTGCGCCAGGCTGCTGAGGCAAACTACCAGATCCAGACAGACAGTAAATAATGAATGAAGCCTAATATCCATGTCTGACTTCTGACGAGCTTCCAATTACTTTTCAGGCCCTAATTACTGGAGGCATCTCTGCACAGCAGGACGCACCCAGGCCGTTGAGCGTGCCGACGCTGTTGATCATCCAGCGGCTGATGGTGTGGTTGGCCAGCGAGTCGAACATGCTGCTGAGGGCGCTGGCACCCGCGGCCGTCCCGATCAGGTACTCCAGGATGAGGTTCCAGCCGATGAAGAACGCCACAAACTCCCCCACGGTCACGTAGCTGTAGGTGTAGGCAGAGCCCGTGGTCTTGGGGACCCGCACGCCGAACTCAGCGTAGCAAACGCCTGTGCGGAAAAACGGGGAGCGGCGTAAGGAAAACGTGGTTGGGAAATGGAAAAAGTGAAACCGCCTTGGCGCCACCTTCCTGGAGGTGCTAGGAGGTGTCAGGATGGCAGTCAACCTCAGGAACACAGACATATCACATGGTGACCCTCCTTCCCCGGTTTCTTGGCTTAAAAACCAGAAACATTTCCACTAAAATCAAGTTGTGATGGGTTTTTCTTTTTGAGAAGACACAGTTCAAACCAGCCAGACGTTTACATGGGATCCTGGACCAGTGCTGCACAGCCTCATCCCAGAGGAAGATGCCACAGGAGGGCTCACAGAAGGCTACTCCCTCTCCCTGCACCAAACTTCCAATCTCCAAACACTCATCCTGCATTATTGCTCTGCAGATCCAGGCATGAGCACTGTCCTGATCATCCCTGCCCTTGTTCATACCCAGGCAAGAGGAGTTTGACGATGTCTCACATAGAGAACATGACTTATTTTAACACTTAAAAAATAATATATTTAAGTCTCTTAAAGAATATTTGCAAAACTAACTGTGCAGAAGAAGAAAAGAAAAGCAAAAATAAATATTTAACTGTAAACTTTCAGGAGGAGAATTAATCAGACTTTAATATTTTCTGAATTCCTTGTGTGCTTACTATGTCAGGATAATTTTTAATAAAAACCTGACCCTGACACGTTGATGCATTAAAACAACCATTAGCTTTTTTTTAAAAGGAATGGATGTACTCAGTTTCAAATTCCCCAAATATTATTCAGTACAAGTGCTGGAAGGGTCCTGAATGTTTAACACTGATTAAGCCCCTGCCCCAAAGACCCCAGTAAAGTTCATATGGCTAAATTGGTAAAGGCTGTTACTACCATTGAGTAAACACATAGTAATTATTGAGCTCTCTATCAACCGATATTCTCCATTTAGAAGATAATAATTGCTTCAAATTTGCAATCAGTTTAGTATAGAGAGGGGAATGAATAATTTATAAAAATTCTATGAGGTGGCTGCTCTTACTTTAAATGCCGTTTTTACGCTGTACAAACACAGAGTTGTTGAATCTCTTGAGCTGAATTTGGTGGTGCTTCTTTTCCTGCTTTTGGAGGATTTTTATATTCCATTCACTGTTTAACTTGAATGTGAGTTGCTTTGCAATGGGACTCTTCAAAACTTGATTTCTGTAAATCAGCCCAACAGGAGCCACAAGACGTTTCCATCATCCATCCAGCCCTACTGACAGTCATTATTCAGAGCTGATGAAAAATGCATGCACTTGGCAAAGGTACGGTGTTCACAGATAACTACAGGCCTGAATGATTTATGAAACTGGTGCTCTGATGGAGACAAGCATCTAGTTTCTCTCTTTGATGGCCTTAAAAACATATATATATATATACTCTTTCTTGTAAGCAGCTCTTGTTTTAGTCAATGACAAGATAATGATTGAAGACGGTGGTTATCGATACACAACGATAATGCCAAAGAAATGAATATGTATAAAATGTTGGAGTTTTTGATTATTCCACTAGGATCCCAAAATAGAAGAGCAGTTTTTCACTATGGGTTGGGTACAGCAATAGGTTGAGACCATCAGCATTAGGTGTCAGCATGTATCACACACACACACATGTATAATATATACTAATGTCTGCTGCATTTGCACTGCATTATTTTTACTATTGTCATTGTTGTAATTATTATTATTATTATTGTTAATAACAATAATAATAATAATAATTTTTTTAACAATCTAACTGCACAATAAACCTGTATTACTTAGTTACTCCTTGGCAGCTCAAGCTATTCAGCACTTTGTTCCCCTGAATCCAGATGGATGCAGCTCTCCCAGTGCTCCTGCACAGCCAGCCCAGCTCTGGGACTGAGAGAGAGGCTGGGTACATCCTCCCTGTAACAAGTGTTTCATCTGGAGACAGATTTATCTTCTTTCCCCCAGTCAAGAGCGTTTGCAATTTCTGAAGAAAACAAGGCAATACAGTGGTTTTTTGAAAGATCAAACATTCTACAGAGGACCATTTCTTTTCCTTGAATATCTGCTACATTTGTGCAATTGGTGTGACAGTCATTACACTGCTGTAATTATACAGTTATTGACATTGTTCAGCAGGACATAAACACAGCTGAGTGGTCTTGGTCCTTCCAAGATCCCATCCACAGAACAGCCACTGGGCAGCACAACTGGTGGCACGAGGAACTGGTGGTTTTGGTGTGCTGGCAATAGTGGTGGGTGTGATGTGAATGCTGACCCTGCCACTGATACTCGGCACAAGGCTACACAGGAGCCATGAGACATCCCACAGGGCACTGGCATGATGGCGGTGATGTTTCAGGTGAAAAATAACTTCTGAGAGGGGCTTTCAGCTGCTCTGGAGGTAACTCCAAATGATTCATGCTACCACACAAGAAATCCAGAGGGACCATCTTTCATCAACCAAGAGTGGCCAACTTATTGAGGAAGGCACATTCTTTTCATCAAGCCACTAAGCCTGTCCATTGCATTTCATGATCACCATGTGCTGATATATAAAAGGCAGCTCCATAAAGAAAGCTCCCACAGAACATGGACTCCCATCTCTCCAGCTCCACCCAGGCAGCTGCAGGTGCAGCCCCTCAGCCCAGCCCTCATCCTGCAGCCAGAACCTCAGGCACATGCTCAGCTCCCCCTGCTCCATCGTGCACCCTTTCTGCTGCTGATCCTGTCCCTGTACCTGTATCAGGCAAGAGTGTGGCACTGCTCCAAACAAGGTTATTGCTTTGGGAGAGAAGATCAATAAAGGGACAAGAATTGGCTGGTGGAAAAGGCTGTGGAGGGGGTAATGGGGTTGGGTGAGATGCTAACTGCTGATTTTTGCTAAGGAGGGGTTGTGGATAAGCAGGCATGAAAGTGGGGAATGCTGACAGTCACAGGTGATGGCAGGAGCCTGCAATGCACTAGAGGCTTTGTAGAGGGAAGCTGGGCAAGCATTTCTACTTGAGAGATGAATGAAAGGCCTTCTAGTGACAATAAAGGAGATTGATGGAATTTATCAGTTTAATCAATTATAGTGTGTTTGTAAGTACCCTGATGGGGTATGTGTTGCTTAAAACTATGGAAGGCACAAATAGAATTTGTTGAATAGATGAAATTGGAAAAGTCCCTTTCTGAAACCAGGCTTAATAGTACAAAGAGGCTTCCCTATGCAGGCCTTCCCTATGGCTGTGTCTCAGGGAAGCCAGATGACTTTCTGGATGGTTTTGGTTTGTTTGCTTTTTGTTTGTTTGTTTGTTTTAAATCCAAAACCTTTCTGGGCTCCCTTTTACAAGCAGTGGGGTTTGGCTTAGTGATCTGCGATGGACAAAGCAAAAGTTCCTTAAAATCTGTTTATGCACACTGCCCAATCTCAGTGTCTGGCACACCCGGCATGACCACTATGGGAGAGCTGGAATCACATTCCCAAGGAGTTCAACAGCCTGTCCAGCTCCTGAATTCTTACTTGGTTTCACTTGCCAAAAAAGCATTGCTGTTACAAACAACAGCAGCGTTAACGATGAAGCGAGGAAGCAGCCAAGGAGACTATCAAAACACTGCATCCCTCACCAAACACTTTCCCAGGGCTACAAAAGCAAGGGGAGATGAAAGCAGAGCAGGCTCCTGTGGGCGAAGGCGGGAGGAGCTCCTGCTGCGGGGCAAGGCTCATGTCTGGGGTGAAAATCCCCTTTTGGAGGACAGAGTGTTTTTGTTAGCAGAGACCCACCCAAACTCCGTTTGCTCTTGGTTTGCACCACGGCCAACAAAACCTTTGCAGAGGAGAGAAAGCAGGCAGTGGGAGAGACACAGATGCTATCTACTGCCTTAGATGAAAAACAGGCATTTTGGTTCACTTGTGTTGGGAGATCAGATAAGCATTGGATCTCATTGCAAGCTCTGGGTTCTTGCTGTGGACTTTGGAAAGAACCTGAGGCTCATCCTTGGGCTGTTCCAGGGTTGTGCCTCTGGGCTGCAGGGATATCAGGGGTTCAAACTCCCACTCACTTTGGTGGGATCTCCATGGAGCAGCACTGCAAACTCCAGGAAAAGACCATGATGTGCTTCCACCTCCCATGTCAAAAATCCAGAGTTTTGAAAAGCTGATCTGGGACACTTTGATGTGTTGGCTCTTCCTGTCTTCTATCAGAGCCCTTTGCCATTTGCTCAGGTTTCCTTATCCAGCCCACAGACAAAAGCTAGATGCCAGACTGACACAGCATGCAAAGTCCTCTGAGCAGAGAGAGCAGGAACATCACATCATCGTGTTATCACTGATCTGGAAAGGACAAATGCCAGCAGTACTGGCTTCATGTAGAAACTGCAGATCGAGCCATATGCTCAGCTGGGTTCCTATGGAGGAGATAGAATTCACCGTGTTTTCTCTAAAATACATCATTTCTCTTTCCCTGTACATTTGTTTGTTGTTTCTTTTTTTTGTTTGGAAATTCAAAGACTGACCCTGCATGAATGGGAGCCAATGAAATCAGCTCCAGAACTAACTGAGGAATTTTTAAACTGTTAACCATGTCAACAAAAGAAGCTGGTCCTGGTACTGTCCAAGCCACTGACATCCTTCCTGTTGGAACTGAGTTTCCCACAAGCTCTCGCTCCAGTGCTGTGGCTTGGCCACACTCTCAGCCTGGGACACACTCTGCAAAACTCTCAAATGTCTCAATAATATTGCCCACAGGCTCCATCCTTGTAGAAGCCATTGGCAGCTCATCAGGATAATCGTGCTTGGGCTGCTGGCTCCCAGTACAAGGTTTGGTCTGACATTTGGGCAATGAGGAACAGTGCACGCCATGAGCTGTGTGAGACCTGTGGGAAATGGCTTTTAGTTGGTGAGGAAGGTGCTACCTCATGTAGCTTGTGGTGCTGAGCAGGTGTCCACCCATGAGCAGAGAGGATGCAGGACATGGCACATCGCCCAAAATCCCCCACAAAACTCACCTGACAAGATGGACGCGACGGCAGCGATGATGAAGGACACGATGACCCCGGGCCCCGCCATCTCCTTGGCCACCAGGCCGGACACCACGTACATGCCAGTGCCCACACAGCTCCCAACACCCAGGGAGATGAGGTCCAGGGTGGTGAGGACCTTGGCCAGCCGGGCGCCCTGGGTGGCCGCAGCCCCGGTGCCCTCCAGCATGGACTCCACGGGCTTGGTGCGCAGCACACGGGTGCGCAGGGCATGGCCAGCAGCTCCCCAGGGCACCCGCCGAGGGTCCAGCCGAGAGAAGAAGCCACTCATGGTGCTGGGCTGGGCAAAGGTGGGTCACAGGCAGTGGCAGCAGCACCCACTCAGGGCTGTGGCTGCGTCTCCATCCTGCGCTGGCAGCCCTGTGAGAGAGGGGAACAGAGTTATTGACTGAAACAGCAAAGAAAGAAAGAAGAGTCAAAAGCATCCCCTAAGTTGGTTTTTGCTGGGCTCTTCTGCTGGCGGAGCTTTGCTTTGACCAATGTTGCTGCTGTGGAGAAATCTCCCTTCTCCCCCCTTAGCTGTTTTGTACAGCAGTGATACACTGCCCTCCTTTGTGTTCACGTGGGTTCAGTCATTACTACAGTGCTGCAAACAGCAGGAACCTGATTCCCTCCAAATTCTCATTACGTGGCTTAATTGCTACCAAAAGTGATGATGGCTACATGTAACTGTGAGGGGCTGGTGGCCACCAGGGCACACTGGGCTCTGGTGGGGACAGAGTGTGTCTCCAAGCCTGGCAGCACTGCAGTTCCAGCAGCAAAAATCATGACCTTATCTTGGTTTTCTCTTTCTCTGTGCCTTTTCATCCCCAGTCATATTTTCAAGAACAATTCAGCAACTGCCATTCCTCCCTCCCTCCCTTTCTGCTGTTCTTCATCAAACTGTGTAGTTCTCATAGTACCAGCAGCAGTGACTTCCAAGTGACACGTGATGACTTCTTCATTTTGAGCAAACCAATAAGAATTGACAAGCTGCAAGCTAATACAAGGGAACAGGAAAAATAGTTTATTAGATATGAATTTTTACCTGGCAGCTTCTTTCCCATCAATACAGAAATATTTTTTATTTTAATTGCCTTAAAGACAAAGCAATTATTTTTTCCATCTTTATATCCAAAACAAATTACATTGTGTCCACAAGGCAGCCTTGTGTTGCTGAAGTTTATTAAATGAAATACAGCATTCATCTCATGTTTTCGTTGATCAGTGTTCAAATTGTGCTGATTTTTTACCTCAAGCAACCACAGGCTAAAAGGATGCATGTTCTAGCTAGGAATAATAATGAGAAATTGTTACTGCTCCTGAGCAAATGTGGATCTTTGGGTTGAAAATAAAACCTGAGTCTGGCTTTTGGGTTGCTCAATCAGTCAGCTGGTGGTGGGATGGGCTGGCTCACAGGTGAGGTTTTATTTTCTGGTTTAAAGGAAGGTTTGTGTTGAAGAGTGCAGCTGAGCCAGAGCTCAGTGGGTCTGCCCTAGACAGGATGAAGCAGACCTGTCCTCATAGAACCATGGAATTGTTTAGCTTTGGAAAGACCTCTGAGGCTATCAAGTCCCACCATTAACCCACATTCCCAATTGCCAAATCTCCACATCTGTTAAATACCCCCAAGGGTGGTGACTCCACCAATTCCCTGGGCAGCGTGTTCCAGTGCTTGACATCTCTTTCCATTAAGAAATGTTTCATAATATCCAATCTAAACCTCCTCTGGCACAACCTGAGGCCATTTCCTCTTGTCCTATCACTTGTTACTTGGGAGAAGAAACTGACTCCCACTTGGTTGTATCATCCTTTAGGTTGTAGAGATCAAAAAGGTCTCCCCAGAGCCTCCTTTTCTCCTCAGGGCAATGTGCTCCTGTCCTGGCACCTCCACAGTGGCTCTGCTTTGCCAGGAATGTCTTTTAGCCATGTGGAAAACAACAACTCTAAGAAAAACCACCCAAAATTCATCCTCCTTTTATTGAAATCATGGCACCTCTGGAATGTGGGCTGGAAAGGAGGTCTTACTGTACTTCCCACTTCCCACCCTTTATTTAATTATTTTTCTTGAAATTTGTGGCTTCTCTTAGTTGAATTTGAAGGACTTGGATTGCTATGTTAGAGTTTGCACTAAATTGACTTAAAATAGTTGAGAAGTTGGGTCTTCAGAAGAGGCAGGATGGTGTGGGATGAAGGCACCAAAGCTTCAGGCTGGTCCTTGGTGCCATTACCAAGTCATGCTCTGGCATGGGAAGACCTGTCCTGTGTCTTAAGGGGGATTGAGACCCCAGTTTTTCATCATCATGTCTCTGGGTATCTGATGAAGGCTTTGGCATATACTTTGGCATATACTCCTTACTGGAGGAATTCACATCCACACTGGAAAAATTTGTGTATTCCTAAAACTGAAGAGAGATGATTGATTTGGACAGCCCAGTTCACTCTCAAGCCACATTATGGTATAGAAATTACTTTCTCACCAGCATCCCAGAGAATCCCAAGAGAAGATATGGCAGTCTTGTCCTGGAATAATCTTAACTGCAAAAATTATGAAAAAAGCCCTTGAATATTTTAAATGGTTTAAATTTAAAGCAGGAACTAGCTGATGGATTAGTGATGTACCCAGATTTAGGCTGCTGAGCTGTTCCAGCTGCCTGGGGCTGGGCTGTGCCCTTCGTGGCAGCCCAACAGACCCCTGCAATTCATGGGGTTTAGTCTTCTCCTGTAAGTCATCAAGGAAAAAGAAAACAACCCTTTCAAAACCTCTGAAATGAAATAACGTTATAATTGCTGCTATACTCAATTAAAGCAGTCATTCAAAACTATTCCAGATGTTTAAGCGAGATCAGCATATTGCTGCTCTGTAGCTTGGAAAGCATCCTTTCACTCTACTTGAAGCCATGAGAAAATATGTCATGGATGGCAACCACCTCCATGGGGCAGAGGAAGCTCACTTCTGCTCTGCTCCACTAACCCTGCCTATCTAGAAGCAGACAGTGAGAAGCAAAAGGAATGTTTACTTGTTTTGTTTTGTTTTGTTTTGTTTTGTTTTGTTTTGTTTAAATCTTCTCAACACAAACCCAGGAAGATGAAGGGAGCTGTGGCTCAGAGGGGACAGGCTGCAGCTGGATTTTGAAGCTGCTCAGCTCTGCACCATCAGGCTGTTGGGGTTGGTTTTCCTCACTGGCTGGCACTTGCTGCTGCCACCATGTGCTTGTCAGCACCACTGTTTGTACCAAAACACTCCTCTTCATCAGGGTAAATTGACTAAAACTGCAATCAAGCCAGAAGGAGAAGCATAGGTGTTTGAGGCATGGATCTTCCTTAGTGTCTGGGTTGATGCTGAATTATTCCTCGTGGAAAATTTGTTCTGCTGGGGAGATGCAGCACAATGCCTCCCCCGCATCTCCTATCCTGACCACCCCCAGCTTCTCCAGAAAATTGTACCCAAACCACACCTGTGCCTTAGGATGGCTTTTGATTTTTCTCTTAATGACTCCTCTCTGTCCAGAAGTCTGTAGGGGGATATCCATGAGCAAAGATCTCTGTTAAAATCTGCTGGGATGCAACAAGGAACAGAATATCGATGGGGGCAAATGGAACAAAGAGAGCTCCTGTTGTTGTATTGATGGAAAGCCAGGCAGGGGCACTCATTAAGAGGAAAAGGTTGGGTTTTCCCTGGTTTTCCACGGCTCACAGAGTAATTACTGCAGAGGAAAGATTGCTGATGCCTCCAGCAGCTGGATCAGCATGGATCTGACCCTGGCATGCAGGACACCAGTTCCCGGTTTGCTGCAGGAGTTTTTAGGCGGGAAGTCTCTTTCTCCTTGCCCAGGGGAGCTGTGCTTCAGAAATCTGGGATTAAAGCCGATTCCTATCTACCCCCAGGGCAGTGCCTGCTGTGGACCCCAGGAATATTAATTCTGTTTATGGTGCAGAACATCAGCCCTCAGACCCGCTCCAGCAGGGAGCGTGTGCCGAGCATCACCCCTGGACAAACAGAGCCCTAAAGGCTCAAAGGGATGCTGAAGGTAGCTCGAGATGATGGAAAAGGCAACTCCTGGCAGCAAACCCCGCTGCAATCCCAGAAAAAGAACGAGAGAAAGAGAAACAAACCCGCTAGGCTGAGCTCCCTGGTACCCCTTCCCTTTTCCCTTTAATTGTGAGCTCGGTGACGGTGGGGCGGGTTAGTCTGGAGAGGCTCAGGGACTGGATTTCATTCCAGCTCCTCCAGCAGGGAGGGCTGACGTCATGTGGGGATGCGGGAGCAGCTCCGAGTTCAGGGATGCGGGAGCAGCTCCGAGCGCGGGGATGCGGGAGCAGCTCCGAGTTCAGGGATGCGGGAGCAGCTCCGAGTTCAGGGATGCGGGAGCAGCTCCGAGAGCAGGGATGCGGGAGCAGCTCCGAGAGCAGGGATGCGGGAGCAGCTCCGAGAGCAGGGATGCCTTCTGCCGGGGCTGCTCGCCGCCGAAATGTTTTCATTGCGAGTGCGATTTGATTTGGAGCTTTATGCGCTTGTTTTTACAGTGCTGATCCCCAGCTGGGCTGCCACTGTAAAAGCTGGCTCTGTCTCCACCATCAGCCCTCCTTAAAGCGATTTAAAAGCCAGGCACAGAGCCGAGAGCGAGGGCTGGTCCCTGCCGGTCCCGGCGCCGCTCACGTGGGTCCAGCTTCAGCAATCTGGCCTTGTGCCTTCGCTGGTAATTTTGGGCTTTTCTTATTTTTAATCTTTCCATTTTTACCTCTGCTTGAGCAGTTCAAGTGGAGCTGTGGTTAATTTGAACTACAGTAGTCGCTAAATTAAACCACTGATAACATTTCAGGTTTAAGACCAACTTTCTCTGTGCATCAAGTGAAAAAATGGGAAATTTTCTGTGTATCTTCATGGCAAAATGGAAGTGGAGAGGCTGAACAGCACTTTTCTATGGCATTTCCATCAATGTTACACTGAATGCTTTGCAGTGTTAGCACTGCTGTAAGATGGCTAAACATCATTATCTTCTTTAGACAAACAAGCAAAATGAAAGATTAAATGTTTAATTTGACCAAAGACATAAGGCAAGGGTGCCACGCACCCAGAGGCAGCCCCCAGGAATTCCTAAACTTTGTTTTCTAGCCTATAGTGCAAGTATTAGAAGAGCATAAATGTGTAATCCAGTGATATAATTAGCATGTACATAGAGATAACCTTTCTTCCTCTTTCCAGCCTTCAGGGGGGACACAGTGTGGTGGTTTAGCTTCTGTCCTTGCTGGGGAGAGACTAGACTGCTTGGATAATCAGGGAAAAGGCAG